AAGCCAGATGGGTTGACTCAGTGACTTCTGCAGTAGGCTCGAGTATGTCAGAAATTATGAGATGGCACAGGATAGGACAGGGCTCAGATCTGTTGTTCATAGGGTCTCTGTGAGTTGTACTTGACAGCACTGAATTAAAAGGAAGTCATTACAAGGAATCCCCAGGTGGTGCAACTTTTTACATGTTTAGCTGCTCATTGAAAGATTCTCTGTCTCTCACTGCTGTTGGATCAGAGCTGATCTGTAGCTGACTCTCCAGGGGGTTTTCAGAAACTATAAATCAATTACGTAGTAAATTGAATACTTTTCTCTCTCAGAGTAGTTGCACAATTTGAACTAACCACCTTTGGGTTGGTAGTGTAACTCCGTATCCGCTAGGCCACCACAGCTCCCTCACTGAAAGATTGGAGGGTCAAATAAATACAACCAGAAGTGCCTCAGAAGAAACACTTGGTGATCTGAAAAGTCAACCATTGAAAACTCTGGAGCACAGTTCTCTTTGAAACACAGGGTATTGCACAGAGAAGCAGCTTGATGGCAGCTGGTTTGTTTTATGTGGACAAAAATAAAAAATGCTGGGAGACATGAGGTCTGGATCCTAGGACCTAGTGCTCCGTGGAACCCTCGAGCCAGCTTAGAAAACTATTGTGTCTGTGCTGTTTGGGTGTCAGCTGTCCTTAGGTGGACCCCTACACACAAGGAAGGCCCCAGTTATCTCTCTGTGGCCACTTCTTACTGTTTCCCCCCTTCCTGCACCCACCTCTTTCATTTTACCTGGAGCCTATCAGTGTAGTCTGTTCATCTAGTGATAACCCCACTCTTAGGGTATATCTTTATAACTCTTAACACTTTTTTTGTAGATTTGTTCATTATACTTGGCTTTAAGCTTATCCTAAGTTGGTACATAATTTGTTCTTTGCATCCCCATAAGAAGATAGAATAAATTTTTTCTGATGATGATTTCCAAATCAGATATTGCCTTTTTAGTTCATTTAATAAGGCCAAGATTTACTGTAAATTTGAAAATTTTATCTGAGACGTGAACTCTTGCAGACTTTTTTAGACTAAGGTGTTTAATAAATGGGGTTTTATTCTGAAAACATTTCTAGTCAATGTTAGCAATTGTTTTGTTTGCTTTAAGGTGACTTAAGCCAATTTTGTACTTATTTAAATCATGAAAAACTAACACAAAGTTAAATACCTAATTTTTTGTGCTAAAACCCCAAACTTCACTCTGCTTTTTGAAGCCTGGCCCATCTTAAAATGGGAGTAACTGTCCTCTCTTTATCCTTTGACACCTTAGTAGGAATTATTCTTTGTTTTTTTCCGTATTGATTCTGACTACTTTGTCAGCTTCATGGAGGCAGGGTCTTTGTTATATTCATTTGACAGTGTAAATAGTGCTGTTACCTAGGAAATGTTCAATAAGTACTGGTGAAATGACTGGATGGGCAGAGAATTCTGGAGTATGACGTGAAATACTAATTTTTTTACTGTTTGCTTTTCAACTTGGAGTATGTCATGAGTGAAATACGGAACTGGTGAGGCTAAATTTTATGAAGTTGGTGTTTGGATCTTTTAGTGTTTTGAAGGAAGCATCACTTGGAGAGCTCTTAGTCATGGGATGAGGGAGTTTACAAAATAAATAGGAAGTAACCACGAGGGAGGGAAATTCTGAGAAGATAGTTCACACATGAGAAGTGCAAATTAATGTATTGTGAACTGTGCTTTGTCATCCGAAACTTTCTGGGTCCCATTGCTGTATGCATCACATCGCTTTGTGATTGTTTACTATTTTGTAGACAGTTTGTTCCATGAAGAGTGGGACTGATTGTCGCTTGCCCTTCAATACCTGATTGTTGAATTTAAAATCTAGTTGCAGGCTTGTAAGGAAGGAGGAGTAGAAGAAAGTAGTGTCTGTGTACCAAGTCTGAATCCAGGAAGATGGTTCTGATGTGTGGGACAGATAGGACTCAGTGCTGTGCAGTCTGCACTTGAAGTAAGAATGAAGGCGTGGCCCTTCCAGAAGACTCTTAGAGGCCATCTCATCAAACCCCAGTCCACAAAGCTAAGCAAACAATCCAAGGGGCATGCATAGCTAGCTAGTAAGAAGGACCGTCATTGAGCCCTAGACTCTGAAATCTCAGGCCGTTTAAATGTGGTGGTGGTGGTTGTTTAAGTGCTGTTGAGTCATAGATGACCCATAGCAACCCTGTGAACATATGTCTTGAACACAAAACTTTCATCTTTTCTCCAAGTTCGTAGAGTTTCTTGAGGCAGGCTTTTTTTTTAAGTGGATGCCACTCCTTGCTTCCAATTAAATATGTATAGATATCTGTAAGCTTGGGGGGAGTCTGTTGGCATAGTCCTTCGGAGGTTCCACTGCTAACCCAAAGGCAGGGCCTGTCTGGTAGTTCAGCTCCACCAGTGGCTCCACGGGAGAAAGATAGACAATTTACAGCCTTCTACAGGTCTGCTGGAAGATCAGCTATAAATCAGTTCAGTCTTGATGGCAATGAAGATGTAAGCATGGGACATTATAAAGATACTTAATGAAAACCCTTGAACTCATTACCCCATGCAGGACTTGTTGATAACAACTTTTATCTGTCCCTGGTGGCCTCTTCTCACATAAACACTTTTTTTTCCCCGTTCTTTCAACATTAGTGTTTATCATTTTCTTGTGGGAGATAGTGGGGAGAACACTCATAAAACCCCAACCCAAAACCACTTTGATAACCACATATCTGTTTCTAGGATCATGCATGTTGTAGCATGTAGTTGTAGGTCACCCTTGTTTTTATTCTTTCTCTCAATACCCTTCCTATTTGGGCACCTGAGGGTTTGGGGAAACTCCCAAGTTAATGGCCTCAAAGCCATCACTTTTCAGCCAGTTCCAATGCAAGTGACCCTATAGGACGAAGAACTGCCCCATAGGATTTCCAAGGCTGTGGACTTTATGGAAGCCAACTAACATATCTTTCTCCCATAGGGAGAGTCCAAACTGCCAGGCTTTGTGTTGGTTGCATAGCGCTTCAATGCTGCGTCACTAGGCCTCCTTGAATGGTTCCAGTAAATTCTAATTTTAACTTTTACAAGCTGTTATTACACTTACCATGTTGCTTCACTTTTGGGAAAACATTTAGTCATTTACCAAATTAATGATAGTTAAACATCCTTAGCCTAGAAATTTGTAGTACAACATTTCCAATTAAGATTAATTAAGATTGAAGAAAAATAATGAGTTAAGACTCTTTTGCAATAGTATTTTAGTGCTTTCTACTAGATACTAGTAGGCAGAAAAACTCAAGAATATGCTTTGGTACCCTGAGTGTACAGTGGGAGTGCAAACAGCATTTTAAAACAGGGTTTTGGGATGAACAGGCTCTACTGAAGGGATCCAGTGGTGTCTATTTACGATGACCCTCTCTGGTCAAGTTATGCATTTCTCTCCACTAGGGAACTCTAATGGTTTCAGAGTTGCACTGCCAGTCCAAGGACAGGCGTTCAAAATGGCCACTGCTCCAAGGGGAAAAGATTGACAGTTTCATTCCATGCAGTTTACAGCCTTTGAAAACCCGACGGAGAGTCAGCTGTGAGTCATTTCGGACTCAGTGACACATTACAACAACATTGCTTGCCCCATAGTCAGTAAAGAGTTGTGCTATTAACCCAAAGGTGATTTCTCAGGCCAGTTCAAACCCACTGGCAACTCCTTGGGAGAAAGATGGACAGTCTTCTCCCATGTGATTTGCAGCCTCTGGAAACCTAATGAAGGGGCAGTTAGGAGAGGACTATGAGGTTTTAAGTTAATCATACACTGCTCAATTTCTAGTTAATCCTTTCTGGAGAAAGGGAACAAACTTTGGGAACAAAGTTTCAGGTTAGTTTAAAACACTTGGGCTGCTAATAAAAGGGCAGGTTGTTTGAATCCACAGACTTACTCCACAGGAGAAAGATAGAGCAGTCTGTATTTATGATGACTGACTCGCAGTAAGCATTTGTCATATAATTTAAATGTGCAGGGCATTGTGAAGTGCACTGTGCATGGGTCAAGAAGGTCCTGAGTGCAGGGGTTGTGTTTATCTATCCTTCCAGTGCCCTGCAGCAGCAGCAATCCCTGGTGACTGTGCCATCAGGGGTGAGCTTCCTGACCGTAACAGGCCAGGACCTAGAACAGAGTTTGACAGCCCCATTTGAGAGTAGAACTGCCCCATCTGATTTCCCCGGCTGTCATCTTTCTGGAAGCAGTTTACTAGGTCTTTTCCTGTGGAGCTATTGAGTAGGTTCGAACTGCCAACCTTTTTGATTAACAGCTAAGTGCTTTATGGTTTGTGCCAGCAGGGTTCCTTTGGAAAGATTCCTCAAGCTTTAAATGAAGCAATTTGTTTTCTCTTTCTCTGATCTCTTGATGTATTATATGAAGAAAGAGATTGCAAAACAGGCCTTAAATGACAAGTTCTGCTATTTTCCCCAACTTAAGAAACATTCAGCAGAGCACTTTTAACCTCTTTGTGTATCTTGGCACTTATTCTTTGCCTGGCTTTGTCCCCAGCTTGGAGCTAGCTCATCAGGAAACCTAGTCTAGTGATGGTACCTTATGTTTCTCTCCAGGATAAAGGAAAGAAGAAAGCTTCATCTGCTACTTGAGCAGGCTTTTTGTAGAACCAGCTGGGAGGCAGTTGATCGCCATCTTCCATGATTTGAGTAGGAGGAAGAACGCCAATAAGGCTTTGAGATGTGGCTGAAGAGCAGGACAGATCTTTTTGTGTTTTTCTGAGTGCCATCACTTGAGATACTTTTCTGAAGGGGGCTTGGACAGCCTGCTCAGCAGCCTCGTGCCAGGTTACAAGCACACAGTCGCTTGCCAGAGGACTGCTGTAGCGCTGTTTGGGTTTTAGGATTCCGTAGGCAAGCAACAGCTAAAGAATGCGTTTAAAGAGTTTTTAGTGTTCATATTGGCAAAACTGGCTTAAATACTTTTATTTCTCTTTCCACAGAGTGATCAGCAGCTGGATTGTGCCTTGGATTTAATGAGGCGCCTGCCTCCACAGCAAATCGAGAAAAACCTCAGCGACCTGATTGACCTGGTATGTGCCTTTTTCATATGGTTTCGTTTGGGACTATGGCTCAGAATGTGTTGCTTTTATGTAGCTTTTTCCATGCAGAATTCAAAAAACACAGGAAACTTTTCTCCCTGGCTGGACACCCCTTATATTATTTCTCTAGATGGAGAAGATTAGCTTCATATGGTTATTGTTTCTTCTGAGCCATGGGTTCAGTTCAAACTGAGTTAAAAGTTCTAAAGTGGACTGCAATCCCCAGTTTCTTGGTCTTCAGTTCCTAGCACCTTGCATTTAGGCCTTATGAGGAAGGCACCAGACTTACCAAGCAGGCTTTCAGCATTAGCAGCAGCAGTACCAGGCTTTCTTAGTCCTTGTCTGTAATATATATTTCTCCATCTAAAGCCATATATATATTGCCCCCTGTAATGTCTTCAGTGGATTTTTTATTTCTAAGTTGAAAAGGTTTAGCAGGTAAAATTTTGCTTTTAAAGTGCTTATCATATCTTTGTTTAAAATACTTCATTATTTTTAGACTCAAAAGTGGTCTCAATATGATGGCTAGTTGAAAATGCCAAGAATTTTTTTTTTTAATCTGTTGCCATAAAACAGCTGGTAAGCAAATGAATAATAGCTATAAAGTCATAAGGGAGCCCTGGTGGTGCAGTGGGTTAAGAGTTGGGCTGCTCAGCTGTTTGAGGAAAATAAATCAGTCTGCTCTTGTAAAGATTCCCAGGCTCGGAAACTTTGTGGGACAGTCCTCCCCTGTCTTGTAGGGTCATTGTGATTTGGAATTTACTTGACAGCCATGAGTTTGTTTTTGATGGGGCTTTTTGTTTTGATTTTTGTTATTGTTATAAAGCCAGGGAAAATATTAAAGGGAAGAAATTAGTTGTCAAAAGACCAACCAAGTTAACCTTAACCTTTTTTTGACCTGTCATTTCTGATACTAGGAATGAAATCTGGATCCTCTTAAATTCAAATTCTCTGTGTGTTTCCCCCCTCTCTGTCCCTTGTGATTATCAGTTGTCAGAGGTGGGACATCGGTGAAATATTTCTAGAATAGTGGCTTAAAATCTTGTTCATGTACCATAGTGGTATCTTTAATTCTACCTTATGAGCACTAAATAATTTTAGTAAGTTAAAGCATTACTACAGAAACTATACTGTTCACAAACACAACTCTTCTCAGCACCTGGAAGGTTCAGAGTGCTGCTGTTTCTGTATTTATAAGGATATACTAAGAAGTTAATTTGTAGAGCTATTAAAATAGTTGTATAATTACTGTATTTTACATATGATAAATTGAGAAGTGAGAATAAAGTGTTTTCTTGAGGTAAATGATACTGACAAGAAAGTTAAGTCCTGACATTAGTGATGGAACTGCGGAGAAGGTGAGTATAAGAGTGATGATCAGGGTCACAGTTTTAGATGAATATTCGAGAATAAAGAGACTGACTACTGATACAAATAAATCTATTAAACATGTAGAACCCAGGATCACAAACAAGAGCCAATGAGGTGACATAAATGAATGAAGTGAACTTGATGAAAGAAAAAGGGATTGGTTGGTGTGGTGAGTCTGGAGCCCATTTGAAAGGGCAGCCTCTCCTCTGCTCCATTTGGGTTTTGCACTGTGTAATAATGAACTTCTTGTGCTCATTTTTACATTTCCCTAAAGGAGCCATACATTTGAATGTTTAAACATTGCCCCAGACATTAAATCAGTTGGATCTGGCTTTGTATGGGAAGCATTAAGTGGGAATGGGGACAGATGTAGGCTGGTATGGGGACAGGTTAGAGGACATAGTCTTTCAAGGGAGATACTGAAATAAAAAAGTTGGACTGGTAGGAGGGAAGAATTGCATTTCTTTGATGTGATGGTAATTGTTACCATTGGATGGCTTACTGAACTTTGTAGGTGACACCTTACGTACTAAGTAATCCACTTGAGTATGTGATTTGACTTTAAACAGTTGTCTGCAGTAATGCTATACAGTGCAGTCTGGGGAACACTGTAAATAGTCTGTATCTTTCTTTTGGTCAAAAATGTGATCAGTTCTCTGTTGAAAAACTGGGCAAAGGCTGAGGTTTGTCAGACCCAAATTAGTTGGCGGCAAAATCTTATTTCTTGCTGTCATAGCCACAGAAGTAATAGATGGAACAAAAAAAAGAGTGTTCATTATTGAAATTAAATGCTAAATCCTATTCAAGTTTCAATACGAGGAAGAAGCCAGTGTATTAGCTGGTGCTTGTTAGCCCTGGGGACCCCTAATCTCTTCTCTGCTACTCTGATGGATATTTTAGAGCACAATCACTTAATGTAAAGTGAAGATTATAAGCAGTATGTCTTCTTGATATGTCAGTTTTGACTGTTTTGAGAAGCAAAAGTATTCAATAATTTAATTCATTATGAATCTTAAGAATTTTTTGGTAAGCGCTGGTAGCAAGAAGCAGCACTGCAATCCCAGAGGTGCACGGTTGGACATTCTCCTCTGGTACCAATCAGATCCAGTTTGACGGTACACACACAAATAATAAAATTTAAAAAGAAAAAGAAACTTAAGAATTTTTTAATGAAAACAATAGAAGAGTGACTAGCAGAATGTGTCCAAAGAGGGAGGGACAAGGGGCTGCGAGTAGAGGTGGGAGGAGGGGAATCATGGAGTAACAAAGTTTGTTGGACGGATGGAATGATGGAGTGGGTGAAGGAATCAGGAAAGATCCAGTGGGGACCTAAAAAGATGGGGTAATAGTGGGCATAGATTGATGGTTATTTATTTTATAAAACACAATGTATGGGAATGATCATATGAAAGAAACCCAATGTGAATGAAGCTATGTGTGAAACTAAATGTAGATGAGTTAAACACAATGTATACCAATTTCATATGCAAACTAATATGAAATAAAAACACATTTTAAAAATAAAAAAAAATTTACTAAAATAAATACGGTCAGTAAAGTTCTCATAAATTTACAAAATAAAACTAGAATAAACTTGGAATAAACTCCTGGCGTAGGTCCAGGCCGTTTGGGATCTGCAGTTCTCCTTTGTCTATCACTTCACAGAGAAGCTTGAGAGACACTGATTTCCTGTTGCTGGGGTTGTGTGAAAAGGCCAGGTTGGGCTGCAACTAGCTCAAGAGTTTGTAAAAAGGCCATAATAAATTCCTGTTATCCAAAATGGGATCCGGGAAGTGATGTTCTCATCAATTATATTTGAATTGACATGTGAATGTCAAATGCAGATCGAGCTTGACTCCCCACAAATTTGAATCTGGTATAGTATGCTTCATTAAAACTGTATTGACATGCTTCAGAAACAGTTTGATTGGCTTCCAGGTCCTTGCTCAAACTCATTGCCATTGAGTGGGAACCAACTCGTGGCCTACTCTCCTGCATGTAAAGTATATAAGAGGAGATCACTCATCTAATCCCAAGAAGGAGCTAATGAATTCAAACTAACAGAAAGGCACCTCCTTTGTGTTAGCATATCAGCTCCCTGTGGAATCTGTCACCAGAGTGCCCTAGGGCCCTCCTGTGTACTGTTTATGTGTTAAGGACAGTTCTACTAGAAGCTGTGATCAGTCATGAAAACTGCTATTGCAAGTTTTTAAGTCATCAGTGTCATTTGTTTCCTGTTTTCCCTGAGAATGACCTTATTTCTTTTCTTTGTCCTTCTTACTGGAATTTGTGTATTTTTCTTATTCTTGTAAAGTTGACCTTTGCTACGTGTACTGTCGCAGTTCTGAAGTTTACTTGCAGTTTTAGTTACTTCCCAAAGCTGTGACCTCAGTGATGAGTCTCATGAAGAAGCCAAGTGTCTGAACCTATGTTTCTTTTAATCTGGGATCAGTCAGATGTTTCCCAATCAGCTAATGTACTGCTCGTTTGGTGCAAATTGCAGTCATTCCTTCCATGCTCACCTGCCTAAAACGTTGCAGGGGAGGTTGTTGTTTTCAAGAAGTTTCTAGTTTTAAGACTGACAAGAATGTTAGAGTTTGCCAGTATTCCCCATGAACGGAATGACTTCGCTTAGATGTCAGAGCCAGAGAACTGGAAAGGAATTTATCCGATCCACCAGCGGTCCGATTACAAAGTAGTATTAAAGAGAAATGTGGCATATGCTTGGCAGCCAGGCCCAAACAGCCCAATTCATGTTGCCAAACCAGCTTTCTTTTATTTCTTTTTCTTTCCAGCACCAAAGCTTTTGGGGCCTTGGGATTATGGTGCACACTCTCATTGGTGGAAAAATGACCTTCCTTTGCAGATGGTCAAAACATCATTTTTATTACATATTAATCCCATCGTACTAGAGTGAAGCCAGCCGAAATCTGTTGTTAAGCGATTTCCAAAAGACCCACACATCCCCATGGGCCTGAATCCAATGATGTTAAGATGCTCTCTTGGCTTGCTAAACATTGACCTTCTAAGGCTTTTCTATTGCACCCTGGCAGCAAGAGTTGCATCTTCTCAGCTGGGGTATATTTTGAGCCCTGAGCTGAGGAAGGAGTTTGTTTTTATAAATTGGCACCCAGCAGGTCATTCGTCCTTTGCCTTTTAAAGAGTAAACTAAAAATAACCTAAACTGTTTAACCAGGCAACAAAGTTCCTGCTTGCAAATTTTGATCTTGCCATTTTTGTTCTTCTCTCCTCTAGTCACCATAGGTCCAGCTCTTGGTGTCTCCAGATTTTATACACAAGCAAGGATAAGCTATCAGAGCAGGAAAGGCACCCAGGCCATCCCAGCCAAGCTGAGAGTTAGAATCAGAAAAGATGTCATGACGGCTGACCTGGGAGTTAATAACTTGATCCGTTTACATTTCAGCATATTTCTCTTTTTAGCAACCAGAATTGCCATCCAGAAATAGAAGGTACCAGCTGGACACTTTGCACTGTCAGACTCAGCAGTACCTGCTTGTGAGAATTCTTTCAAGGCCAAGACTGAGTGATATGTGGAGTGTAAGGCCTTCACCCTCCTCTGCCGTTAACAGGAGGTGCAATGAATTACTTAATCTAGTGTG